AGCTAATTTTTGATTTATTGTAGAGATGAGGTCTTGCCAAGTTGCCCGGGCGGGTCTTGAGCCCGTGGGCTCAGGTAATCCACTCGCCTCAGCCTCCCAAAGTGCTGGGATTACAGGCTGAGCCACCGAGCCCAGCCTTTTAATAGCTTTAATCTTGAAGTGATTGCCTAAACAGTGTCTATTTAAGTTACCTAGCATTACTGTTTAGCACAGCAAGTATAGTTTCCAAACAAACATGATGGCTGGGCGTGGTGGTTCAAGTCTGTAATGCCCACACTTTGGGGGGCCGAGGTGAGAGGACTGCCTGAACCCAGGGGTTCAAGACTAGCTTGGGCAACTTGGGAAGAGCTCATCTCTACAGTAAATCAAAAAAATAGCTGGGAGTGGTAGCACGTGTCTGTAGTTCCAGCTACTTGGAAGGCTGAGGCAGAAGGGTCGCCTGAGCCCAGCAGGTCTACGCGGGGGTGGTTACGAGTATGCCACTCATGCCAGCCTGGGCGACAGAGCAAGACTCTGACTCAAAAAAATAATAACAAATATGACTTCAAGGCAAAAAAGAAAAATAATTCTGAGAACAAAACTAGGAAATGTGGGAGGCTATTAGGTATAGTTTGGAAATGACAACAAGAAAGAAGGAAGAGAACAGATTTTTTTTCTTTTTTAATAAAAACCATGCACAAAGTTTGACAATAGGTCAGGAAAAGGTAAATTCCAGACACTCAGAGGTAGTTCACAGTTTGTTTTTATATTTTATTTGGTCCTTTGCTCTAAAAATGTATATTTTTAGAATTCTTTCGTGTGCTATTAAAATGTTAGCTATAATAAATATGGAAGCAGCTTAGATAGTTGATATTTTGCTAATGAGAAGTCCAGCTCCTTTGCAACCAGATTTTTCTGATGCTTACATATTGCACATAGCATATAATGCTGTACAGATATTTTTAAGTTGCCTTTTACCTTCCAAATGGCCAATATCAATGTCTGCAATTGAGACTCCAGATTTTTTCAAAGGCAACTGACAAGTGTGAAAGCTTCACCCATACTGATTTCATAGTTAAGGTTTTGCCTTAAAATTGAGTATCTGAGAAGAACTAAATTAAAATAGCTCTCTCATATTCATTTTAATAAATCAACCTCATGGATGCATTCTCTGATGAACCCCGGTTTTAAGGCTTTCACACTTGCAGATTTGCTTTCAAGGAGTTCTCTTCAATATGAATTTTACAATGATTAGTAAGGGATGACCTCTGGCTAAAGAGTTTCCCACATGCATTACATTCATAGGGTTTTTCTCCAGTGTGAATTCTTTGATGTGCAATAAGTGATGAGCTTTGTCGAAAAGTTTTTCCACATGTGTTACATTTAAAGGGTTTTTCTCCTGTATGAATCCTCTGATGCTGTATAAGAGCTGCACTTTGACCAAAAGATATCCCACATTCCAGACATCGATATGGTTTCTCTCCAGTATGAATTCTCTGATGATTACTAAGGGATGAGTTACATCTGAATGTTTTCCCACACTCATTACATTTGTAGGGTCTTTCTCCAGTATGCATTCTCTGATGCTGAATGAGAGCCGAACTCTGTCTGAAGGCTTTCCCACACACTTTACATTTACATGGTTTCTCTCCAGTATGAATCCTCTCATGAATAATAAGTGTAGAGTGAGAACTTAAGGCTTTGCCACATTCGTTACAATTATACAACTTCTCTCCAGTATGAATTATTCGATGTCTATTAAGTCGTGAAATAGAAGTGAAGCCTTTGCCGCACTCATTACATCTATAGGGCTTTTCTCCAGTGTGAATTCTTTCATGCTGAATAAGAGACGCACTCTGACTGAAGGCTCTCCCACATTCACTACATTTGAAAGGTTTCTCCCCGGTGTGAATTCTCTGATGATAACGAAGGGATGAGCTAGACTTAAAGGTGTTGCCACATTCATTACACAAGTAGGACTTCTTTCTGGAATGAAGTCTCTGACATCCAGAAAGAGATGTGCTACAGCTGGATGCCTTCCTACCTGGATTATATTTATGAGGATTTTCTCGAGCATGAATTTTTTGATGTATAAAAAGGCCAGACCTTCTGCTGAAGGATTTACCACATTCTTTACATCTGTAGGATTTCTCCACAGTATGGGTTCTTAAGTGCTTACAAAGGGATGCACTATGGCTGAAGGCTTTTCCACACTCTTTACATATATAGGGTTTCTCTCCAGTATGAATTCTTTGATGTTGAATAAGAGCAGAACTTTGACTGAAGGCTTTTAGGCATTCTTTACACTTAAATAATCTCTCTCCAGTGTGGTTTTTCTGATGTTTACGAAGAGATGAATTGTGAATGAAGGCTTTTTCACATGTATTACATTTATAACGTTTCTCAGCTGTCTTGACTTTTGGTTGATTAAGTAAATTTGAATTCTGCTTGAAGCTATTTCTTTGTACTTCATATTTGGACAGTGTTTTTTCTCTAGCAAATCTCTGTTGCTTAAGGAAAACTGATTTCAGGTTGAAGTTTTGGCCAAATTCAGTATTTTTATGGTTTTTGTCTATAGTGAGAACTTTCTTATGGGTAACAGAAATTACTTGTAAACTTCCATTTCTGTCCTGTTGTTTCTTTAATTTGTCTTCATAGATGCAGGATTTTTGTAATACACAGTCCCAGGTTTCATTCCTTTTGAGTCTTTTCCTCATCAGTCCCTGAAATGAATCTTGAGTTTGAGATGACTTTGTGGTTTTAGGACTGTTTTTACATCCTGAAAAACAGACAGACAAAAGGAAAGCAATTATCAAGGAGTCATGTGATCATCTGAGACTAAATGTGTATATGGAATAAAGATTAATGATATCTCAGTAATGGCTGAAAGACATTAGAGCAGGAGGAAACATTTTAAAAAAACACACTTTATAAAATAATAATGGACCTAGCTTAACTACTAGAGTGAACAAAAGAATAAGGCAAGCTCATTTAAGGAGGGCAAGTGTCTACGAGTAACCAAGAGAATGAAGACTGGAGAAAAGGGATTATAGAAGCAGAGATGGAGTATTCAGTTAGCAATGCAGTTTAGTATCCAAAGCCTATGTTGGACTCATAAATTACCTTATTTCTGTAATTGTTTGTGATCCTGAATGTCTTCCCTCCCTTTACCACATGCCAAATTCCTTCGTAGCTTTCAGACTCAGTTCAAGTGTTAACTCCTCTGTGAATCTTCTCCTGAATTTATTTTTGTTTTTGGTTTTTTGGGTTTTTTTTGAGTTGGAGTCTCACTCTGTCACCCAGACTGGAGTGCAGTGGCCGCTCCCGGCCACTGCAGCCTCGACCTGCTGGGCTCCGGCGATCCTTCCGCCTCAGTCTTCCAAGTAGCTGGAACTACAGGCGCGCGCTACCACGCCTGGCTAATTTTTGATTTATTGTAGAGATGAGGTCTCGTCAAGTTGCCCAGGCGAGTCTCGAACCCACAGACTCAGGCAATCCACTCACCTTGGCCTCCCAAAGTGCTGGGGTTACAGGCTGAGCCACTGAGCCTGGCCTGGTTTTGGTTTTTTTTAATGAGAAAGCAGGATTTGTTGAGAGGACAGAAAAGCTCCCACAGTTGGAGGGGACCTGAAGAGGGTGCCCTTCTCCTGACTTTGAGTTCCAACAACCTACTTCCTTCATCACATAGAACTTATTTTTTGTTTTGTTTTGTTTTTTTTGAGTGGGAGTCTCACTTTGTCACCCAGGCTGGAGTGCAGTGGCCGCTCCCGGCCACCGCAGCCTCAACCTGCTGGGCTCCGGCGATCCTTCTGCCTCAGCCTTACAAGTAGCTGGAACTACAGGCGCGCGCTACCACGCCCGGCTAATTTTTTGATTTATTGTGGAGATGAGGTCTCGCCAAGTTGCCCAGGCGGGTCTCGAACCTGCGGGCTTAGGCAATCCACTCACCTCAGCCTACCAAAGTGCTGGGATTACAGGCTGAGCCACCGAGCCCGGTTTAGAACTTAATTTTAAAAGAAAATAATATATGTCTAGAGATGCTGAGAGAAAATTCAGCAAAATTCGGCACCACTGATAATAAAAACACTCAAGGAAAATGGAATTGAGGGATACTTACTCAACATGTTAGAGTACATATATTTTAGTCCTAAAATGAGTATCTTATTAAATGAAGAAGCACTAAAGGCCATTACGCTATGATCAAGCACAAGGCCAGGACGCCCATTATTATCCCTACTATTCAACACTGTATTAGAGGTATTAGTCAATCCAATCAGAAAAGAGAAATCAATTAGAGACAGAAGGGGTAAAGTAAAACTACCTCTATTTAATGATAATATAATACTATATCTAAAATATCCTAGTGAATCAGTGATAAAACTTATTGAGTGCAGCAATAGGATATGAAATTAACACAGTAAAATCAATAACCATCATTTACACCAACAAAGAATTAGTAAAATGAATGCACATGCAATATGAAAAATGATATGACAAAAATTTTATTAACAGCCTTGAATAACATTAAAGTGTACCTGAACAAAGGATAATCTCTCCTATTCTTAGATAGAACGATTGAACATTGTAAAAATGTCAATGCATGAAGGCAGGATATAGATCAGGTTTTCTCAACCTCAGCTGATACTGGAAGCCAGGTCACTCTTAGTTTGGGTTGCCATGTCTACTGCAGAGTGGCAGCATACCTGGCCTCCAGCCACTAGATGTCAGTATCATTTTCCCTCAAAACTCCTCCCTCCAAGGTTGTAACAAGCAAAAATACTTCAAGACATTGACAAATGACAAAATTACCCCTGGTGGAGAACCACTGGCACAGATGAGACCAGCCTGGGCAACATGGTGAGACCTCAGCTCTACAATAAGTCAAAAAATTATCCAGGCATGGTAGCACGCACCTGTAGTTCTGGCTACTTGGAAAGCTGAGGCAGAAGGATAGCCTGAGCCCAGGAGGTGGATGCTGGTGTGGCTGTGAGTGTGCCACTGCATTTCAGCTTGGGCGACAGAGTGAGACTCTGACTAAAAAAAAAAAAGAAAATCAGCTAAACATAAAAGGAGTCAGTAATGGAAGAAATCAAGGGAAAAAAAGATATTAAGGCACACAGAAAATAGCAAAAGACCATAAGTAGGTCCTTCCATATCAACAGTTACTTTAAATGTAAATAGATAAAACTTTCCAATCAAAAGAAAGACTGGTAGGATAGAAAAAATAAAATATGACCCAACTATCTGCTCACTATAAGAGACTCACTTTAGATCCAAAGACACAAACAGGTTGAAGGTAAAAAGACAGAAAGATATTCCATGGAAATAGTAACCAAAAGAAAAGTGGATGCCTGGGTGACAGAGTGAGACCCCAACTCAAAAAAAAAAAAAGAAAGAAAGAAAATTGGAGTGGCTATATTTGTATCAGACAAAAAAGATTTTAAGACAAGTTAGACAAATAAGGATATTATATATTAATAAAAGTCTCAATTTAGCAAGCAGATATTATGATTATAAACATCTACATATGGAATAACACGCTCTCACAATATTTGGAAAAAAAGGACAAATTTGAAAAAAGAAATACAGTTCTACAATAATAGGTGGAGATGGCAATACTCCACTTTTAATAATGAACAGAACAATCAGCCAGAAGATAAGAAAAGAAATAGAGGACTTGAACACAGTAAGCCAAATAGATCTAACACACACGTACAGAACATGCTACTCACCAACAGAATACACACTCTTCTCAATGGGAAATACTCCAGAACACACCGTATTTTAGGTCACAAAACAAGTCTCAATAGTCTTAAAAATATAAATGTCATACAAAGCATCTTCTCTGATACATATCTTCTCTGAACTTCACTACAACTTCACTACAATGAGATGAAGTTGGATGGAAATCAGTAACAAAAATAAAACTGAAAAATTCACAAGTGTAAATTAAACAACATGCTCTTAAGACAACCAATGAGTTGGAATCACTAGGGAAATCAGAAAAAACTGATGAATGCAAATAAAAACACAACTTACCTAAATGTATGGGGTACTGTGAAAGCAGTGCTAGGAGGAAAATGCATAGATGCAATAAAAAGCATAAATTTATAAGTTAAGGAAGTAGAAAAAGGGCAACAAACTAAATGCAAAGCTGGCAAAAGGAATGAAATAATAAACACAGGATTGGAGACAAACTGAGAATTTTTTAAAAAATAGAAAAAAACAAATAAAACCAAAACTGGTTCTTTGAAAATATCCAAAAAATTACCAAAACTTTAGTGAGACAAGAAAAAAGAGAGAAGATTAATTTACTAAAATCGGAAATGAAAGTGAGGACATTACTATAGATATTACAGAAATAAAAAGGATTCGAGACCCGCCTGGGCAGCAAGACCTCATCTCTACAATAAATCAAAAAATCAGCCGGACCGCCTGGGCAGCAAGACCTCATCTCTACAATAAATCAAAAAATCAGCCGGACGTGGTAGCACATGCCTGTAATTCCAGCTACTTGGAGCGGCCACTGCACTCCAGTCTGGGCGACAGAGTGAGACTCCAACTCAAAAAAAAAAAAGAAAGAAAAAGGATTACAGAAAGTTCCATGAGCAACTGTATGACAACAAATTGAACAGCACAGATGAGAAGAACAAATTCTTAGAATCACAAAACCTGCCAAGTGTGAATCATGAAAAGTAAATCATGATCTGAATAGACATATAACAAGTAAGGAGACTGAATCAATCATCAAAAACCTCCCAACAAAGAAAAGCCCTGTACCAGACGGTTTCAATGGTGAATTCTACCAAACAATAGAGAAGACAAATCCTTCTTAAACTCTTCCAAAAAATGAAGAGGAAGGAACATTTCCTAATTCATTCTATGAGATCAGCATTGCCCTGATAACAAAGTCAGACAAAAACAAAAAAAGAAAACTACAGACCAATACCCTTTATGCGTACTGATTTAAAAATCCTCAAGAATCCCCTCAAGAATTTTGAAGGGGAAAAAAGATAACCTCAAAAGTCTCAAAGGAACAGTGCCAAGGACACTCATTTTATATGCTAAATTACAAAAGTGTCAAAGGTTACAAAGTATTAACAAAACGCACCAAGACATTCCATTCAGATAAGAGGCCCCATCAACCTGTTCTTATCACAGACAATGAAATGAGCCTATTCTCTAATAGCATTTTACACACAAGCAGTGTTCAAATGTCCCCAATTGTCTCATAGTTGTTTTTAATTAGGAAGTCAACAAGGCTCACCCCCTCCATTTAGTTGGTATATCCCTTACAATTTAATCTATTGAAGTGATGGTCATTTGGCCTATAGAATTCCAAGTAAGCCGAATATCACTGATTGCACACCTGGAGTTGATTCAACATGTTCTTCTACCTCTTGTGTTTTCTGTAAAATAACACATGGAACTAGAAGACTGATCAGATCCAACTTCAGTTCCTACATTATAACCAGAAGCAATAGTATCTGGCTGTTTATGTTTATATTGTTGAAAGTGATAAATTAAGGTTTCTCTGCCTGATACAGCTGATAAAGCTCTCCCATCAGCTTTTTACCTAATGATTTTAACAACTATTGATGATCACTGACCATTATCCTACTTAGGAGTAGGATACCTTATCCATTATCCTACGTAGGAGTCACAAAATAGTGATACTCTAATTCTATCATGTTTTATATTTATTAGTTGAAATTATTCTAATAAAAATAACTTTCCAGCCAGACTCGGTGGCTCAGCTGGTAATCCTGCGCCTTGGGA